AAAACTACACAGATATTAAAATGATACTTCTGATGAACTTTTAATGACCTAAAAAGTGACTATGTTAAAACGACAAGTTAAAAAATAGTAAGATTGCACAGATAGGATATTATGTCTGTATACATAAGTTGAATTATATATTTAATCCTCGCAACATATATGAAACATAAATATTTTATTCCGATCATTTTTTTAAAAAAGCAATGTAGAAATTTGCCTGAATTGTTACAAAATGTAAATGTTATGGGGCGAACTGGGAAAGGGTGTTATTTTTTAAATGAGGGACGGATATATTTAAGGCCTTTGACCTATAGAAAATATCAACAGAAGGAAAGGACACCCTTGTTTATTCTGTCCCTCCTAACCCTTTGTCAATATATACGTGATTGAAGAGGTGCCAATTGGTTACTTCTGATGAAAAGAGAATATGGACTAAAACTTAACACAGCCAGGCATTTACCTCATTCTTCAAATAATTTCAAAGAGGTGAAAGATACGGGCATAAAGAAATCCTAGTTTAAAAACTAATATTTATCTGATAATATGGTTTTCTCTCTTCAACAGCCACTAAAAGTGAGTTATTGGTCTTTTTCTGAGTTCGAAGTAGTACATTATTTCGAAACGCTTTTTCCTGTTTCCAAGTCTAAATATAAAAATTCAGGCAGCCGATTACTCATAGAGCAGTGGTTCTTAACCAGGAGTGATTCTGATTCCCAGAGGACATGTTGCTATGTCTGGAGACATATTTGTTGTCACGATAAGGAGGGGTGCTATTAGCTTCTAGTAGGTAGTGACTAGGGTTGCTGCTAAATACTCTACAATGCACATGACAGCCTCCCCTCCCCATACCAACACATGCAAACACCAAAATGTAATCTGGTCCAAAATGTCAATACAACCAAGGCTGAGAAATCTGCTATGAAGAGGCAATTTAAAGTATTTTGCTCGAGGCCAAAATAACCCCTCTCCTTTCTGCTTCAGAGGCAGTTCACATGTTTGTGTCCCTCCGTGAGCAGTTCTCAGGGTACATTACTGCTACTTTAAGTATCAGAGTGACTTATCGTCAGGAGAACCTCCATGCAATAGTGTGAGAGAGTAGGAAGAGGGAAGGACAGTGAAATCAAACATTCTTTCCAATTTGTTTACTCTCTTCCCTTTGGCATTAAAAGCTGCTACAAGATATTTTGTTCTACAGATTAAATTGTTTCCATTTCTCACTGAGATGGTTTTTCAATATATGAAGAGAAAATATTTTCATAAAAGAGTGTTCAAACGTGACATTTCTGAAAATACTCTATAATTAACAAAAGGCTAACTACAGATTTTTTTTTAAATATGGCTAATACATTTCAATTCTTCTTTATCTTAAATGTGGCTATAATAAATTACCCCCAGGAGAAAAAAAAAAGAGAGAGAGAGAGAACAAGCTTCCAGATCCCAGAAAATATTCATGGCCACCCCTCCGCCCCCAAAAAAACAAAGTGTAGTCCAACCAACCAACCTGTATGATAGACATTGCTTCCCCTGTTTTTGAAGGTTCTATGATAGAAAATGTTATAGGTTTTATGTTTTTGTATGTGTGCGTATCCCCAGGGCCCATGTTTCTTAAGCTTCTCAAAACAATCATTGATCTCTGTGGGATACCAATAAGATATCAAGAAAACAGCACTATCTTGGGAGTCGAACAATTAATGACTTCTATGAGCATAAAACAGAGGGGAAAACTATCCCAACTTGGTACATTTTATTAAAATCCAACACAATTCCTTCAGAGTTCATGATGAATTGCAGAGCATTGTATGCTGCACCCAAGCAATTGCTTTGTGAGCCAGAGATCACACTGACATTACAAAACATATGAATACGTCTTATAACCTTTGCCTGTCTTATATTCAAAAGCTCCATCCTGAAGGGCACAGGGTCTGAAATCACACCAGAGTTCTGTTAAATACCAGAAAGAAGTGGGAATAATCAACCTACTGACTGAAAACAATAATTGCTTATGATTACTGACCACTTCCTATGTGCTAGGTACTGCTATGAACACAGCTATTAAGACATTTCATCTTCATAAAAATAAGTGAGATCAATAGTTACAGACCTTTACAAATGAGGTGACTGAGGCACAGACAAGTGTAACTTGCCCAGAGTCACATGTGGAATAACTGATAGAATAAGGCCAACACTGCTTTTTCATTGTGTCACTAGTATGACTGTGTGAGGAAGAGTAGACTTACTGAACAGTGCTGGCATGGCACTCTCCTTACTCAATGCCAGAGTCCGTTAAATGGATTTGCATCAGGGATCTCTCTCAGGTCTGCTCCTTCTCTCACTGTGTAAGGACTCCTAAATCAATAGTGGTTAAACCGCTATTTGTGTCTTATGCTCTTGGATATACCAAACATTTCAAAATTTCCATGCACGAAACTAGTTACAAGTAATTGGTTTTGAAATTCTCAACAAACTGTATATGTTTTCCTAAAATTGATTCATTTGATAATATCCCAAGTTTGACGAGTGTTTCTGGGTCTCAATAGAAAATCAAAAATATGTTAAATTTTCTAAATGTTTTAATTGCATTGTTTCAATCAGGGTGCCTCTACGTGGAAAAATAACAGATATGCTTAATTGTTAAACAAGACTTGGGAAGATCTTTGTGGTAACCACAGAAATTAAGAAAGTGAGTGGTTCTAATGATTGCATAACAAACCACTCCAAAAAAAATATTATTTAGAAACAGTAACTACTTATTTCATGGGTCGCTACTCCATGAGTCAGTAAGGTCTGATCTCGACATAGCTGATGTTGGCCTGGGTTATTGATGTAGATGACATCAGCTTGGTAGATTAGGTGATCTAAGATGGCTTCAAGCTCAGGTATGGTGGTTGGCTAGATGCCAGTTCATGTGATGAGGATGTGAGCTTTGTTTCTCATTGTCCAGTACACTAATCTGTGCTTGTTCACATAGCAGCTTTTTAAAGAGATTTTGTAAATTAAAGAAATTGTGAAAAAGCCACAAGGCCTCTCAGAGGCTTGAAACTGACACAATGTCCATTCAGCTATCTTCTGTTAGTCAAAGCTAGTCACAAAAGCAGCCTACATTCCAGGGATGGAGAAATTGATTCCACCATTTGATCAGAGACAATGCAAAGTGGCAGAGATCCTAGGAAGACTGAAGAATTTTGACCCTATTTGCAATTCACCACATTGGGTAATAAATCCTTTTGAAAGATGTAATTTCCAAAACTTTGGTCTTCAACAAAATAAGAAGACAATCTGATTTTGTACAATGCATTATTTTTAAAAATTTTGATGAAAGATCATTGTGAGAAAGTGGCACATAACTTGAATGGAATTGAAAGAGCTGAGTGATATTTCTACTACAGCACAATTTCTACCAGAGTTTGTATTCCTAGTCATCTTTAATATGATGAAATATTCTCAGTATTCTCACCTATTAAAAAATAGAAATAGAAATAGTACTGAATGATACTTGCTTTCTTTAAGTGCTATATTTCCAGGGATACAGTAATTATTTGAAATAAAGAATTCAAACTCATATTTATATTTCTCATAAAAAGAAATATTTCCAAAAACATTTTCCATTTTGATTAATTATATTTTATCCAAATTTGCAATGCAATTATGTTTTTAACTAGTGGTATAATTATTATTGTATCATTACAAGGTTAATTTAATCCAGAAATAAAAACTTTCGATATTGCCAAAAGTGTTATGATCACAAGAACTATAAGGTATAAATGTTATTAATAAAATTATAATGTCCAGTGGGGTAGAATTAAATGAGTTGAGAAGAAGGAAAAACATAAATCTGACTGTTTCAGATGTTTTTATATATGTATTTTAAGTGAAATTATGCTATACAATGGAAATTACACCTTCTGCTGCTATTTAAATTTACAATGAAATATTTTATATGTAAAATTAAATTCTTGGTATAAATACCTTTTCAAAACTAAATGAAAGGCACATGATCAACACATTGAAAGATGTAATTTCCAAAACTTTGGTCTTCAACAAAATAAGAAGACAATCTGATTTTGTACAATGCATTATTTTTAAAAATTTTGATGAAAGATCATTGTGAGAAAGTGGCACATAACTTGAATGGAATTGAAAGAGCTGAGTGATATTTCTACTACAGCACAATTTCTACCAGAGTTTGTATTCCTAGTCATCTAGGAATCATTTAAGTCCCCAGACACATCTGACAAGAAATATATAAGAGTGCACCAGTATTTAGTGGAAAACATGCTTGCCAATGTGTCTGGGGACTTAAATGATGGCTTTAATTCTGTTAACAATTGCTTTTACATACTTGGTCAGGACATTTAAATAATATGGGCCATGGCTTCCTTAGGATAAGAGCTGGATGGGTTGTATTACTTCTACCATGAAATGTGGTCATCCTTGGTCTACACAGGACAGAAGTAGAATAAAATTCTGTAAGATTAATATAAATAATTTCCTAATGTCAAGAAATTAGAAATTATATACATACCAGATACGGTGTGAAATACATAAGACATCTAATATCTGAAACACTGCTTCTTACATATTTTATTAACCTGTATACAATGGTTATTTAATTGATTCACTATCAAATACTGCATATGAATAAAAAATTTTAATAATGATGATAAGATCAAAATAATACAAACATTTCAAATAAATTTATTAAGCCCAAATAAAATTCTCCCCCGGGTTATTTTTCTTCTTTACCGAAACATTTGGAAATTTATTTCTTCCAATATACTGATGATTTGGCGGAGAGGAGAACAGTGTTCAAGTTATTCAAGCAAAAATGATAATATTAAAGTGATCAGATATTTTTAATTTGCCAGATTAAACAGGTCTTTATGCTAGCAACTATGTGGCTCTCATTTTATTTTGAATAAGGTTATGTCAGCGATTAGTTTTCAAGACTTAGGGCAACTCCAAGCACTTTTTTTTAAGATAGAAGTTCCGTTGAGAAGGATTCAGAGATTAGGCTCATGTTGAGAAAAAAGTTACTTTAATAAAGGACTGATAATGTTTTGGATGTCTTCATAGACAGAATAATAGCATGCAATACAGGTAGAACAGGCTCTAATCATGCTTACTTCTTGCATATAAGATTTTCTGAGATCCGGTATACCATTTTTGACCCTCTGGTGGAGCCTATCACAGCTTATCATACTGCCTCACTAGAGCTTCTTTGAAAACAACCATATTTTATCAACTTTCCATTCATGCCAAGTTGCATATATACACACTACAACACACACACACACACACACACACACATTACACAGTATTTACTCAATTAAAAATTTGCTGAATTCATTCAGTATTACATTCTGATCTCCTCATTTTTGTCAGGTTTTTGTCTTCTGAATAAAATCTCTACATTGTTGATACACATCTTCTGAAACTTCTGAAATCAGAAGGCCAAGTGCAAACTATACCTATTTTATGAAAGCATCCCTCTAAAGTCCCTAAATAGTTTTGAACTTTTCTTTCTGTCAAATCCTTTATTATATTTATTTTCTACCTTGAACAATGACCACTTTCTTTATGGCTCTACTGTCAACATCAGATTTTGCATTTCTCAAAGGACAAAGACTGTGTGTTACCTTAACTGCTATTTATAATTTTATAAGAGATATTCATGTGTTTATTGAGAGCTTAGTCTGTTCCAGATATGTTATCAAAAAGGGGGATAAAATTAACATTTCTTAATTTTAATAAGAGATTTTATAATGAATTCCACATGATATCTATATTATCTTTTAATCTTTACAATCAGATTAGGAGATAGCTTATGTTGTCTCAATTTCGTAAATGAAAAATTAAAGATAAGAGAGATTTCTGATTTTTTTCAGTAAGTAAGAGACAGAGTTAAGTGTATTCTCTATGAATCAATATCCAAGTCCTTTCCACTATATATTAACTCTTCAATACTTTTAAAGTTATCTTTAGAATCAAAATTTATGAACACACTTTATTTACATGTAAGGGTAAACTCCACTAAATAATATGCTCAAAAGGAAAAGACTTTAATGTCCAATAACTTGCTGACTGTGTCCTTGACGTCTTTATTTCTTAGACTGTAGATCAGGGGATTCAACATGGGAATCACTACGGTGTAGAACACAGACGCCACTTTGACTGTGTGCCTGGAGTTTTTGGAGTTGGGCACACAGTAGAGGAAGAGAATGGTGCCATGGAAGATGGTGATGGCCGTCAGGTGTGAGGCACAGGTGGAGAACGCTTTGCGGCGACCACTGGCTGAATGCATCTTGAGGACGGTCACAAGGATAAACACATAAGACAGGAGAATGATGAATAGTGTGCTGACCTCATTAAAAGTGGCAAAAATGAAAAGCAGCAAGTGGTTGACATAAGTATTAGAGCAAGAGAGAGAGAGCAATGCAGAGAACTCACAGAAGAAATGATTAATTATGTTGAAACCCTGAAATGATAATTTGATAGCAGAACATGTGAGTATTAAGGAGCATGCTACTCCCCATGCATATGACCCGACCACGAGCAAGGCACAGAGTCTCTGGGACATGGCGACTGTGTAGAGCAGAGGGTTGCAAATAGCCACGAAACGGTCATAGGCCATCACAGCCAGTAAAAAGGATTCAGTTACCACAAAGGTGCAGAAGAAAAAGAATTGTACTACACATCCTAGAAATGAAATGGTTCTGTCCTCTATGACTAGATTTACCAAGGTCTTGGGAGCAATGATGGAGGAATAGCAGAAATCTACAAATGAGAGGTGGCTGAGAAAAAAGTACATGGGAGTGTGCAGTTTGGGGTTAATTTTGATTATTACAATCATTCCAATATTTCCTACAACAGTGACACTGTAGATGACCAGAAAAATAAAAAACAAGGGGACTTGCAGTTCTGGGTAATCTGAGAAGCCCAAGAGAGTGAACGTGGCTTCACTTTTATTTCTCTTTGACAGTAACATGGTTTCTATTGGTCAGAATTTGAGTGAGTCCTGAAAAAAAGCATTAAAGAGAGTGAGGATATAAGAAGGTCTGTTAATGCCCCTTACCAATACTAGGTGATGAAGCAAAATATCTCAGAATTTTTCTGTTTATTATACAAGATGTTCTAAATGTCTAATATTTTTAAACATAACTATTAAAATTTTTTTATTTGCATAAAGGAATACAATTACTTAATATTTTAAGTTCTCAAATGTAATTTTTAATATTTATAAATAAGATTACGAGATCAAGTGATTTATGGTTTTGATTACATAACACTTTCAGCTTCACTGAACATCACAAGATCATAAAAGATAAGCCTAGCTTAATACAATGACTAATTATATCAGCCCTATAATCAGTAACAAAAATGAGAAATTTCTAAACTATTTAATTTTTGTATCATATGTTCATATTCTGACAATAAGAAGTAACACCCCTTAACACTTTAAGTTTGTATCTGTATTGTTAATTTTCTGTAACATTTCAATCTTTGTTTTCTTTCTGATTTAGTACAACTGATATGAAAATAAATCTTAATTTTTTTCAGAAGGTATATGCTTCAACTCAAGGAATCCTAATTAAGAAATATTAGTTAATATTAGTAATATTAATTATTAATAATTAATAATAGTTTTAGATGGACCATCAGTAAAGACGTCAGATCATATGTGAGACCGAGACAGTCAAGGGTCCTATCTGTTCCTATTCTCATAAATTTGAGTATTAAAGACAACCTCAAAAGACAATCCATCACAAAGCTGGACATTCTGATTTTCACATTTTTTCTTAAAATAATATTTACTTTGTCTATGTTATTTAAAAATTCATTTTAAATTAATGTTATTTTTAATGTAATGGTTTTTTGTGTCCCAAATGCTATTATTAAATCGCTCATAAAAATTTTTATATCTTTGAATTCAGGAAATTTAACACCTGAAATCTTCTTCCTTATAATTTCCTCCTTTTTGTTGTAATTTTTGCTCTCCAGTGCCACGTGTCTTGCTTTATAATCTTCAATAAAACTGGTCCCTTTTAATTTCTTTCATTAGAGAATCTATTCAATCTCTCCTTATTTCATTTTGTTTAAACTCTTGTCTATTCTACCTCAACTACACTTTTAAAAATGTAAAGAAGCAAGACAGTACAAATTTCCAAAATTTTCCAAGCTCTTCTTTTCCCCACGCCAGGTCCTGCTGTTCATGGAGCTGTTATTGGGGAGCTGAGCTGAGCCAGGCACTCTAATGCAAAGCTCTTCCTTATATGTTCAGATATGTAACTTCCACAATGACTAAATGTTTCTCAAGAACTGCCTAGATCTAAAGGCTAACTTTCCTCTCCCACATAGTTTTTTAGAAACCTTTTATTGAAATTAATGTCAGTCTGTCTTTAGAATCTTAAAACAAACCTGCTGATGGCAAAGGTAGGACCTCTCTTGGTTGGGTGTGATGCATATATTCTTATATGTATAGTCACAACCTTTGGGATATGAACCCTAGAGACTCTCTGTTGCCTCATGCTCTTGAGGTCATGAAATAAACAATTAAAATTAATCTTCTTGCTCTGATGTAAGTCCTGTGTACTGGAAACCTGGAGCAGCATAAGGGGTACTTCATATGAAAATTTATATTTTAAAATCACTTTCCCCAGCCCCCTGATCACTCTCATACCTTCCTTCAATTATCAAAATTATATAATTTTAAAAGTCTTCATTTCAAATATTAATCAAGTGACTACTATATGCCAGAATAGTCCTTTTCCTTCATACTACCCACTCTTTGCCATATTGGGGAAACGTGAGATCCATCCATTAGGCCATCATGGTACATTGAGAGTTAAAGCATAAATATTTACAAAGTTAAATATTCAATTAAGAAAATGATCTAATTCCTTTCAAATATCTTCTATTATGCGTTCCTTCCTCTGTCTTCTCCAGCTAGTCTTACCCCCTTGCTTTTTTTTTTTTTAACTAGTGTTTTCTCTACACCGAAATCTGTTCCCTGAAGTTTTTGTTCAAATGCAGCTTTTTTGGGAAACCTTCAATGATCATGCTATTATGCTTCAGAGCTACTCTACTACCCAATTTAGTGGTTAAGTACTTATCATGGTTCAAATACATTTCAATGCTTATTTATTGCATTGATTATATTGTTTGTTCCCCCTGCTATAATAAAAATTCCAGGAAAACAAGAATTTTTTTTTTATTTCTTTGTTTACTGTTGTATTTCAAGATCCTAGATCAATGACCAGCATAGATTCCATGAATCTTTACTGAATGATAAATATATAACCTTCCACGGAACTGTGAATAGAGCCAAATGTACCAGAACTATGAGTAATTTGAATGCAGGGAGGAGATAGTTCACAAAGAGGGATAAGGATGTTTTTATTGAAAAGAAGTGAGTATTGAAATTGGACAGTAAAATAAAATAAAACAAAATAAAATAAAATATAAAATAAATAAAATAAAAACTAATGTCTGCTCTGCTGAATTTCCTTTCACTTGTCAGGTTTATTATAATAGAAATCTAGAATTTTCAAAATCAAATACAGCATGGTAAAATTTCCTGCAGGTAATTTTTTAATGGAAAAGAGTATCTCAAATATTCTCCTTCAGAAAAATCTTAAAAGTAGCTTTCCCAAAGGTTTATAATGTCTCTTCACTCAACAAACATTTTTACATATCCATTATATACAAGGCTATGCTTATAAGAATATTGATATAATTCATAAAAATGGAAATGAAAAAAAAAAAATCTGGGGTAGTGATACCAGACAAAATAGAGTTTAAAACAAAAGCTAGAACAAGAGACTAAGAAGTATCCAGTAATCCCACTTCTGGATATTTACTTGAAGAAACCCAAAATACTACTTTGAAGGGACATGCACATTCATATCTTAATTGCAGCATTTACAATAGTCAAGACATGGAGACAAATTGGTTGTCTCTCAGTGAATGAATGAATAAAGAAGTGGTACGTATACAATGAAATATTGCTCAGTCAAAAATAAATTTAAAGAGTAAAATCTTGCTATCTGAAACAACGTGAATGGAACTAGAGGATCCTAGAGAAAGACAAATACTTTATGATTTCACTTACATATAGAATCTAAAGAAAAAAAATAAACAAAAGAGAAACTAACTCATGGATACAGAGAATATTTTGAGGGTTACCAGATGGGAAGGGGTTGGGGGATGTCTGAAAAAGGGAAGTGGTTAAGAAGTACAAATTGGTAGCTACAAAATAGTCATGGGGATGTGAGATATAGCAAAAGGAATATAATAAATACTAAATAATATTGTAATAACTATATATGGTGTCAGATGTGTACCAGATTTATCAGAGTGATCACTTTGTTAGTTATATAAATATTGTACCTGAAACTACTATAACGTTGTATGCCAACTACAATTGAAAAATAAAAAATTTAGAAAAGAATATTGATATAAGAATAATATACAATATTATTGTTACAGTTCCCCAAAGATATTACTATTGAGGAAAACTATGTAAAGGGTACATAGGATCACTCTGTATTATTTCATATAACTGCATGTGAATATGCTATTACATCAAATAAAACACTTAAAAAATAATACAGTTATTAATCACATTAAAACTTTTATCTCAAAAGATATATATGATTTTAATACTGTTTGGGACAGGAAAAAAGTCAGCGTGGTAAGCAGTTCTTGTAATTACTTGTTTTGAAGCTTGTAACATTGGCCGAAATACAGATTGTTCCCTTGAAAATCTTCAAAAGACTTGAAGGGTTAAAATGACATTGATAAACCTTTTAGTTTTCTAATTCCAGGTTATTTCTGCAGACCTGGAATTATTTAACAGTAGTTTCTTAATGAAAATGTACTACAATAGTATTTTACTAACATCAGCTCATGTTTTGTTGCTTTTCTAAAGAATATTAACTTAATGGCATAAATACATCTTGAAAGGATACCTATATATACACCAAGATAGGCTTCCTTCTTTTTCTTTCAGTCATAAATAATGTCACTCTAAAATATTTGTGATATGTTTTTGCGAACTGATTTAGAAAGTGCAGATCATCACCAAAAACTGCAGAGTTGTTGGGATCCATAGAAAGCTGTCTATTTGAAAATAAGTTGTATTTATTGTTCCCTTTGCCCTGAACTCAACACTCTTCCCCCAGTTATCTGCATAACCTCATAATGATGCAGGCTCAGACAGCACCTCACTGTGTTTTTCTCTAACCTCCCTATTTAAAATAATACCTTCATATATATTTAGCATTATTACTGACAGGAAACAATTACATATTTGTTTTTGTAGTCTTCATTAAACATAAATTTGTTGAAAGAGGGACATTTTTTTCTCTATTCCCCCAATACCTAAGATACTACCTGGCTCAGGATAAGCCTATAATAAATATTTGTTTAAGGAATGCATAAATGAATGAATGGGGAATCATGTGTCCTTATTATATACTTGACCTCCTTTCCATGATTCTTGTACTAGAAAGCTAAATTCACAAAATAGTCACCATTTAAATTCTGATCAGTGAATACACAAGCTTCAAAATAAGTAATTACAAGAACTGCTTACCACGCTGACTTTTTTCCTGTCCCAAACGTATTTTTGGCCAGGCATTTCTAGAGTAATATTAGAGTTTTAATGTCATTTCATAACAAATACATATTTAAATTTCCCCAATTATCTCAAAGACATATTTTTACAGTTAGTTTGAATCAAGACTCAAATAAATGTAGTAATAAAATTGTTACGAATACGTTCCCTTTATTATGAAACTGTTCTCCGTGTGTGTGTGTGTGTGTGTGTGTGTGTGTGTGTGTACACGTATGTATTCAGGTAATTTGGAAAAATTAAACCATTCATAGAATACTGCATATTCTCTTTGTCTAACTGCTTCTTTTGGTGTCATTTAACCTGTTCCTTTACAAATTCTTTTAAATCGATGCATCGAAAATCTTAATTAGTTCAGTTTTGCTCTTTT